TGTCATAGAAATATATAATATATCCCTTAAAAATCGATTTAAATATGTCAAATTAACTTAAATTAACCAGATTTTATGAACCCATACTGGTGCAAAAACATTTCTAAATGGCAGCCTGAAATGTTTTGGTGCTTTCACATAATTTAAACTTTTGCAGAACAAAAACATTTTCTTGTAGTTGTCGGGACTTCAGAGCGTTTGTTGGTGAAGTTTTTCTCTGCTCTGCACTCTTAAACTAATCAATAAATTCATAGTAATTAAGGGCAGTCCAGTCTAGCCTTTTCAGCGCGAGCACCAAGAAGTGGGACTCCATTGCGACCACAGCGGTGCTATTACAGGCCCAAACCCTCTCTCCTTTCAAGAGAAGGGTAGATCACTTTTCCCAGGCACTCAATTCTAATCTCATCGGCTCTCATTTTTGCCCAGAGCCAATGAGCTTTAACCTTGTTAACCTAATCTGTCTCGGCCAATGAGAGACCAGTGAAATTATCATGTTGCCTAAACACACAGTGGTGGATATAAATCACTCCAAAATACTGACTTGGCATGCCGTGGCGACAGCGGCCATTTTGGACGGCTGTTGTGAGTCTTTTTGTTGAGCTGCGAGGATGACTGACGGCCTACTTTGGCTTGGAGCACTGCCTCTTGAATCAGGCCAAGGTTAACAATGGGAAACAGATTGAGTCAGTAACCCTTCAAATGGAGAGCGCAATGAAATCCTCTCTCTCATCCTCGACAGTGATTTAGTCACTGAGCAGCAAGAGCGTGTGAACTCAATCAGTCATTGTAGCCATTAGTGTCTCTGCTGCTGGTTATTCATATTTTAACTGCTATCATTTATCCCAGAGGTCTTGCTAATGGACACATATCTATAAATCTGTAGATGCTAAGGTTGTTGTGCCAAAAACTTCTTTATTCAGAAATGTTTGTCCTTGGTGCAGCATTCACTGGTTCACAAAGTCTCTTTGGATTAATTTGAACACACTGCGAGAATTTAAAGGTATTCAGCCATGAATGCTTTTCAATTTCGGCTGCCACTTCATTATAAAGTAGGTGAAGATAATATCAAAACTACATGAAAAATTCAGCAGCATCCCTTTCCAGCATCAGTGTTCCTCAGCTCCATCAGTGATCCCCAACCAGAGGTACTTGGACCCTGGGGGCTATTTCTGCCAGGGGGTACTCGCAAAGATTGCACAGTAACACATTATCATCATTAATTTGAACATTTTTAATTTTGATTTAATAGAAAATGATTTTTGTTTAAGAAGAAAGTAATCCGACTTAGTATAGTCATCGTCACAATAACCAATTAACTACCAGCTAAAATAGGCAGACACAACCCCCACCAACCTCAGTCAGTAGACACGCCTTCAGTGTAAGAGAAAACTACTTATCAAGCAAGCAGAAATTAAATGGATAGCTACTGTTAATGAATAAATAGTTAAAAAGTCCAGCTTCTGCCAGTCCATCTGGAACAAGTACAAATACACTCTTGAAAGGAAGACACTAAATCTAACCATAGACAGTTCCAAGATCATTATATATAGTTTAGTGTTAAATAACATCCAGTTTCACATCAAAACAAATGAACACATTTGGAACATCAGGGGTTATAGTTGCTGTAAAGAGACATTGTTGTTGAACTCTCCAAATGCCAGTTGTCAGTACTGAGAGAGCCAGAAACAAAGATGAGCAAAAACACCTTTTCCATCGAGAAAAGCCTTTAGTGGCACTCTTTGCTCTTCTTTCAGTGAAAAAATACTATCCAGTTCGGACATAACTGATGCCAGCACACACTAGCGTTAAACCACACCCATAATTCGATGCCGTATCTGGCAGTAATTCCTCACAGCATCCTGATCGGTCTGTAACCACCATGTTTGGACACAAGTGCATAACTTACACTAAGGCTAGTGAGATGCATTCTCAGATGGATGATCTTGGGATTTTGGTGTAAATTTCTAATCTCAAAAATCCATATTTTTTTAAATTTTTGATCAGGCTCTACTTGATACAAGAGGTAAAGCAAGTGAGACAATAAATCAAATTTGAGCAACTCTTCAAATAATAAGTCGGTTCGCACGTAAAAGTTAAGCTGAGGTCTTAAGTTGAACTGACCCAATGTCTCCTGTTTGTCCACATGCACATACACAATATATCCTGTTAATATACTGTTTTACCCAACAGGCCATCGAATGCATCACACAGGGACGGGAACTGGAAAGGCCACGCACCTGCCCCAAGGAGGTTTACCTGCTGATGCAGGGCTGCTGGCAGAGAGAGCCCCAGCAGAGGATGGTCATCAAGGACATCCACAACCGCCTGCTGGCCCTGGTCAAGAACCCACCTGTTTACTTGGATATCCTGGGCTAAAGGGGACCACCCAGGACCAAACAGGGAGTGGGGTTCCGAGACTGGAGAGGTTGAGGTTTTATTTTGAGACATACAGTAAAACTTGTTCCTTTTAAATCCATTACTCATCAGGGGTAATCACCTTAAACGGGTTCCTCTTAGTTTAGGTTTAAAAATATATTCCTGTTCTTCCGGTTGCTGCTTTTCCAGCCTTGATGCTTGATGGACTAACAGTCTGCAGTGATCTTTCCAAATCAGTTTTTCGTCATCCTGGCTCGACCCCGATCCCTTTTTACTGCTCCGTAATTCTCTGGAAAACTGTCAAATGTTTACCCAAGTGTTTAATGTTTATCTGAAGTGCGACCAGTCTGATGGAGGGACATGCATGGATAAGTTGAAGTAACTGTATATATGAGATGATGGCTTGTCGAGGGATTATGGCTCTGTTCCCTGCGAATGTGTGCGAGCTGAGCTGTGGTACATTTTATAGACTCTACAGCCGACACTTGTGTCAAAAGGCAATTAGAAAATGAAACAGATGATTACAAGAGAGGGCACTTCACATTGAGTCAAAAGTGAAAACCAGTTTTTCAGATTTGGGTACAGCAGATAGTCATTTGTATTGTCACTGATTTTGAATAAGTTTTGATATGGAAGGTTATTTAAAGGCATTTAGTAAATGTACATAAGATATCAAAGTTGTACAATCAAAACCTTCGAGAGCTTGTTTGTTTCTGATGTGTCAAATCCAGTGTATCATATGAGTATTTTTCAAAACCAAGAACAAAATGTCATATATTAGCAGTGAAAGTGTGTGTTTACATTTAATGCTGTCTGTTTTGCTGTCAAATATGGACAAAAAATACTTCCAAAGATCAACGCTTTGACCTTTGGCCTGCCTGCGAGACTCAGGAGTGGCTCTCGTACAAATTAGCGATGTTTAACATTCTACTGTAGCGCCCTTTAGAATCAAAGCACTGCAGTGAAATTCGGTAAGGGGGCAAGATGGTGGGGAGGTGCCACGCTGAGATGGTTTTAGAGGTAACAGATGGATTAAAGTGAGTGAAACTCCAGGAGGAGAGGGACAGATGGCACTGAAACAGAGACTAGAGGTGAGGCCACCACCATGAAAAAAAAAAAAAAAAAAAGAATTCAACCAAATGGGGCATTAAGAGGGTGAAAGACTGAGTATACGAACCAGTGTGATGCCTATATGTGTAAATATTAATGTACATACCCTGTATTAATGTCTAAAAAAATATATATCTTCGTGTATTGTTACTCCAGCACTTTGTATATTGTCTGCCCTTAAAAATAAACAAACTTGATTAAAAAATGTGTGCAGCCTGCACAGGAACATCCCTCTGCATCAGTCAATCCATCATTATCGTATGCTTCAGAGCGAACAATGATTTGGGCTGCCGTCAGTACTTAAAGTTAGACATCTTAACAAGGCTATTCAAGAGCCTTCTATTATTTTGACGAACTAATCAGCAACCTGCGACGTCTCCACGGGATGCTCAGGAGACGGTTATTGAAAAGGAATAATCAAGTTTCATATTGCTTTACCGCTGGCCCTCCAGCAAACAAACACCCTCCAAAACCAAACCCCTCTCTCTACCTCACACTACCGACCCCCCCACCACCACCACCACCACCACCACCACCCTTCCTCCATCACTCTGTATGCAGAGCGTCTCCAGGGAGTGGTAATGGATTGTGAGTAATGCTATCATCCCTTTCTCTGTCTCTTTCTTTCTCTCTACCTCCTCTGGTGTGCCGGGTGGGGTGGGGGTGGGGGGGATGAAAACACTTGGAGGACTTGTGTCTGGCTTATTGTTTCTTCTAGTGTCTACAAGCAGATTCTGGCCAGATAGGATTAGTACTCTCTGTAGTGTTTTGTCCCTGTTATCCTTAAGGGCTCCATTTGTGGTTTCAGAATGAACCTTTTTAATAAGCAGTCTCCAAATGGGTTAGATTTAGAATATGACTATAATAAGAGCTGGAAATGAGGCCATTTTTAAAAAGAAACTCCTATTAGAGGTTTGCAGCAGCAAACTTTCCTTTTTAATCTTCCACCTCGCTGTATAATATAATGCATATATGCAGGATATTGATTTCTTATGGTAATTATTTATTTTATGATAATGGCAGTGCCGATTCATTTTGGTCTGTGTCCACGGCTAATAATAAACCACTCTGTATGCTATATTATCCATCCTGTATGGCAATAAAGACAAAGACAGAGTAGGAGGAGAACTCCTACACAAAATATTGAAACCAAAGATTACAAATCTATACAACCTGACAGAGAAAAGAGAAACTACAATGAAAAGAACTTTGAGTTTGAGTTGGAGGCCGCTGTTATTGAATCTGCACTGTGTGTTCTAGTGAAGTATAACTGTGTGCGCAGCCGCTAGCTTTTATATCCAAATGTTATAACTTACACTTTCCAAAACCTCATTCTGATGAACTGCATTGAAGAAGAAGAAGTTATTTAATCTACAAGGCATCCTGCTTCTTAACATTTTAAGTGAGGAGCAAGAGACTATTTCACATCTTATTTTAAAAGGTTTTTTGTAGAATGAAATTAAGATTTTCTGCAGTGATGTAACTTATTTTTTATGTTTTAACTCAGGATATAGATCCACATTTCAAGGCTGCCTGAAACAAGTTGAGAAATCTTACACCAGTTATTATCAATAAAAAAGAAAATCTGGTTTGGAGGCTGAAAATGTGACTAAATCTCTCATTAGACTGATCATTTCTGCACACACCTGATGTCACCAAAGAGTTGGGTTTCCTGTAGATAAATCTTTGGGGATTCACACACTGCTGCGACACTGCAGCGGCAGCTCATTTCATTGTGAATAAAAGCTGATCAGCAGATAGAAGCAATTAGCTGCTCAACCTGAAGGATACGATCTTTTTTGTACTGTTCTGCCCTCTGCTGGTCACGTATACACACTGCTCAGACTGGTGTTAAGGATCTGCAATTGTAAATAAAAAATAAAAAATAAAAAAGATAATTTAATACATTTTAATATTATGCATGGTTGTAGAAATAGTAGGGCAATATCTAATGATTATTTTCATTATCAAGTCACCTGCCAATTATTTATTAGATCCTTTGGTCTATAAAATTTTTATTCCAGTTTATTAAAGTCAAAGGTGATGTCTTTACATGTCTTGTTTTTTCAGTTCAAAACCCAAAGATATTCAGTTTAATATGATATAAAACAAAAGCAGGAAATCTCCTTATTTGAGGGGTGGAAAACAGCATTTTCAGCCATTTTTTTCATCAGAAAAATTACATGAATGAATAATCAATTCTCTAAATAGTAGGCAATTATCTTTCTGTCGATCAACTAATCAATTAGTAGCCATGTCTATGCAGATATAGGCATGATGATAAGCATGTTATATGCACGTATATAACAGTAGTGATGCAACAATTAATCAAGTAGTTGATTGTGAGAAAATATATTAGCATATTAAATTGAATAACGGAAATAATTGTTAGTTGCAGCCCTATGCACCATGTGTGTTCTTAATATAATAATTACCAATACTGGAAATGATTCCAGTGACAATTATTCCATTTATAAAAGGCTTAATTTATTACACACGTCTAGTAGAACAAAGTAGCAAATTACAAATTATACACAGAAAAGAACAAATAAGTATTCATACATTTTAAGTAGTTTGTTGTTGAAACAAACAACATTATATCACAAGAAAGGTTGTATACAACATTTTAAAAAAAGGCACCAATAACTCTTTCAAACCCTGTTTTTACTTATTTTTTGACACAGAAAATTTGTTTCAAATGGTTCATCTCACACTCGTCTTTGCCCTCTATTTCACGTTATCAAACATCCTTCAATACACTGAATTAAAAAAAAAACAAGAAAGTGCCCACTTTTCCTGATAATTACAACCTGCATCAGGTTTACACGAGAAATAGCCTTCTAAAGTAACAGTGATCTGGTCTGGTGAATTTCTGGTCCTGGAATTGATAATTTCGGTCAAAATAAAATGTTTTTAAAAAATGCAATTCAGAAAGGCGATATCAGCATTGATCTATTTGATGCAGAAGCCTCGAGGCTCAGCATCTCTGAGCTTTAGAACTGTCTGAAACTGCTCAAAATAGTACAGGCACCGAACGGCTGAGAATGAGTGAGATGACTAAAGAAAACAAAACAACAGCTTAGAAATAAATGAGTTCCAAACTAGTTTGGGTCGATACCAAGGAACCACATCAGAAGCAAGTAATGATGCAATTCCAAGAATCAACAGGGTCAAAGCGAGGAACGCTGTAAGATGATGACTGTAGAGAAAATAAAACTATCGATCAACGCTCGGCAGGGGTGGAGATAAAACAGAAACAGAGTCGGTGGAAACCACATTGAGGGCAGATACTGCTCTGTTTTGTCTGCAGCATTAAGGGAGAAGTGACTTAACCTTGAAAACAACTCCCCTGCTATAATATAGAAGTGTGTGTGTGTGTGTGTGTGTGTGTGCTCTTTGTGATTCTACACATTCACTCTCCATCTGACATTTCTACATCAGCCTCCATCATGGAGCTGCAACACACCTCATTCCCATAATATCACATACATTTTCCCCTCTTATTAAACTCTCTAGCAACACGGCTAAAAAGATGTTTGTCTGAGTGTTAGCTGCGTGTTTCCTGTGGATTGTGTTTACGAACTGGTGGAATTAAGTGTAAATTTGTGACATGCATGCTTTAGAACTTGTTTTATACAGATGAGCCTTCCACGTGTGTCAAGTAAAGCGAGCATTGTTGCAATCTGTGTGTTACAGATCTGTATGTACAGTATGTTAGTGCTACAGAGTGACACCGTGTCTCCCATTAAAACCTATTAATCAATATTTGCTTTGCCAGTCTCTGAACTATAGACAGTATTTATAGTAATGCTATGGGTGCTATGACAGTTATCAAGTCCTTTCTGTCCATTATTAAGCCCTTAAAGTTTTATTTTCTTAAGTGAAAAAAGTAAGAGATAATTTGAACCCATTTTGATGAATGTTCTGGCATCTGGTATTTTATTATCAATTAATCTGCCAATTTTTTTTTAAATCTATAAAATGTAACATAAAAGAGAGAGAGAGCTATGCAATATGCCAAAACATAAAGATATTCAGTTGATATGAAACAGAAAAGGCACAAAAATACAAACATTTGAGAGACTGGAATCAGTAAATGTTTCAAATGCGAAGTGATGCAAATGATTAACTATCAAAATTGTTCTGATCTATCAATCAATCAATCAATCAATCAATCGACTAATCAATTAATAAACTAATAATTTCAGCTCAAATACTCTTGGAAAATGTAAGATGGTAAAAAACCTGAGATCAATAACTGTCACAAAGTACTTAATAAGAGGGTAATTTTTCATCGTGAGGAAAAACACTCATCTCCATTCCTGTTTATGCCCCTAAAACAAACAATAAATATAATCAAATTCTATAAATATATAAGACAGTTAGAATTATTTCAGCTGTAACCGTATGCATCATGGGACAAGAGAAACACAGTATATAAGGAGTGTTACTGGTTGGTTATACTGTACATGCACCAAAATACTTGAAACACCACAATACTCCCATGTTAATAATAATGACCCCAAACTATGACTAAATATACTTTTTTCTATCTCCATATCTCTTAATTAAACCGATGATATGAAATTTGACAGGACTGGAAATGCTTACAAAGTTGAATCCCACGCACTGATTTTTAATTTGTGCTATTGTACATGATAAATGTTCATAATAGATCTTATGATTCATGATGGAAGAATAAGAGAAAATGGTGCCATTTGCTCTGAGCATAAAAATTGTTGAAGACCTTCGGGGGGCATGAGGCCACTATATTGTGGCCATGGAAACAAACTGTTATAAAAATGGTACCTGTCTGTTAATCACTGGCGCTGCGCCGTAACATTTCTTTCTTTTCTTTTTTTTCTTTTTTCTGCTGAGGGCAGATTGTGGGGTTCATAATAAGAGAGGCAATCAGAAAAAGAACCACACTGGCCTTCAAATCAATTCCAGTCTGTGCAGAGTGGAATCAATAGGTGGATATATAAGAGCTGGCAATTCAATCTGCATTATATTATGTAGAGTTGAATGAGGGTTGTCTACGCGGAAGACTGCCTTATATTTAGGACAACCACATTAAACAATAACGCCTTAAAAAAGTAAAAGGGATTCTGGCCTAGTACATGCAAAAAGAAGAATCATTAATTCAAAATATCATCCCTGCAAACTGCGACATTAGATGTTTCCAGTTTGAGATTTCAACTTGTCCTTGTAGTTATCTACTGTAAACATTGTAAATAAAGTGAAGGTCGACCATAAGGCACTTATGTGTTGTGTTACAACAGCTTGCTTCCTTCAACCCAGAGCCTTTTTAAATGCACATCGAGGAACCTTAAAATAAATTAAACACAGAAAAAGGCTTCAATAAATGCGACTGGGTCCTCAGCTTCTGAGTAAACACAAGAACAAATACTTCCGGTGTGAAATGCTGTTAGAAAAATGCTTCAGCACTGAACGTGTATCTTTATCTCTGAATGATAAAACTATTGGTGTTAAACAAGCACTACTGTGAACTGTTAATAGTCATCTCAAACACACACTGCTGAGACAAACAGCCCAAACCTTTCCTTTGGAAAGTGAATCAGCCATTTTGTGGCTGTTAGCGGAAAATACGCCCTTACTGCTCCTTGCACTCGCATGTTGTTGTGTGCAGCTGGCTGGAGTTGTGGCAGGGTTTCCCTAGGAGCGGCGCGCTGAAAATGCCGATGATGCCCAGGTTGAGGACGAGGCTGACGACCAGCACCCCGATGGTCCCCAGGAGCGAGGGCATAGCTCCATGGGCCACGAGCAACGCCCTCCGTGACGTCATGTCTGCCAACACGCCCTCCATCTGGAAGTGGGTCCCCACCACGGCACTCACGTGGAAGAGCTGGTGGCTGTGGCCTGTGTGACAAGATTCAGTGTGTGAACTGAAAACTGAATGTCACCTTGTAATAGGCATTTTTAACTATTTTCTGACAAGTTATAGCCTAAATGATTAATTGTTTATTAATGGATTAATTGATGGATTAAAAAAAATTAATAAATTAGTTGCAGCCCTATTTTTCAGTGGTTTCAGAACCAATTTAAAGTTAACTGGCAACTATTTTGACATTTTATTAATTGTTTTGTAATTTTTCAAGTAAAAATGCCAAATACCAGTTAGTAGATAGTAAACTCAGTAGCTTTAGTCATATAAAACAAGCACTTTCAACACCTTAGGCTGTGCTAAATTCATGAAGTATGACAAAGGATTAGAGCTTAAACTATCTCTTGCAGATTAAACCAGTAATTACTTTTTTTATATTCTGATAGAGACAATCATTTTAATTTTAGCAACTTGTTATTAAGTTGATACTTCTCAAAAAGACCACAGCGATAAAAATGAAATCTGTTGGTAGCAGCATGTTCCAAAACCTTTAGTGAAGCTAAAATTGTTATTTATTAAACAACATTTTCTTCAGACTCAGTGAATAATAAAGCGCCTCAATTAGTGTTTATTTTTCCTGTTTCAACTTAACAAATTTTAGTTAACTATGTTTAACATCATACGCAAACAATCTCCTCTGTCTCCTCTTCTGCACAATGAGTAACAAACACAGCAGCTCTTCCTTTGCACTCAGAAGCTTGTGAACCAGTTTTATACAAAAAAAAAACAACCTCTTTGAAACCATAGCGGGATAAACAACTGCCGATTAAACAACGAAACAGCCAGAAAAGTTTGGATTAGTTTACACGCAATCAAATCAAAAGTCTGTTTGATATAGAGCTATTGTTTTATGTCAATTGTCCAGTATTCAGCAGGGAAAACATTAAAGAACAGGCAAAGACAAAAGACAGCAATATAAAAGTTCGCCCCATGTGGAGGGCAAAACCTTGCTAATTTTACTGCTGAAGGCTAATTTGGTAATCATTATATAATTTGGACACATCCTTTACAAGCCTGCTCCTTTTCAAAATTCTAATTCATAAAGTTACACTCAATCTCACCTGGGAGCTGCTCAGTGAAAATATCAGCTCCAATTCACTGGAATAACTGGGGTTAATCATCTTCTTACATATTTTCTTACATGTACTTTCATTATTGTTTCCTCAGTAAGGGAAGAGTTGTTTTTGTTGTTTTTTTCTTACTTCCATCAAGATTCGAAGTATTAATCAGTGTATGCTGTGCAAAGCCAAATAAGCCAGTTACAACCTGTATCATACAACATCCATCAAGGACATACCAAAGTAGTCGAAGCGCCCTGGGGCCAACCTCTCCGGGAGGTGGGCGGTAAACAGGAAACAGGTGAGGAAGGCAAAGAGGAGGTGGTAACAGTGACTGGATAAGGCCTCGCTCGAGCTGCAGCTTCCCCCACAGCAGAGAAGGATCTACACATAGAAAAACAACCACATTTTTAAATTCAATATATTCAGAAAACACTAGAAACCAACAGATTAATCTTCAGGTCCTTCAAAAGTAACAGAAGATAAAACACTGATTGAAAATGTCAACAGACGCCACCAATTCAAGATACGGGGACTTCTGTACCTAATGCACAATACTGTTATCAACACTGATGGTTACAGCATTGTTTGACCTAGTTACAAAAAAACCCTCCAACAAATGACTTGTGTATTGCACAAACTAATCATCACAGTGATTAGGGGAATTAACTGATGGCAGCGATACACTTGTATTAGATTAAGAAAGGAAATCACTTTCTGGGTTAGTGAGCCAAAGTCTTGCTCAGAGTATTACAGCCTGGCACTAATCAGCTCCGAGCACTTACATAATAACAGAAACACACAAAACAACACAGTCTGTGCAAGTGTGCATACAGTATATCCACGCTGTTTCAATGTGTGTAACATAAAACCAGACACGAAGGTGAAACAGAAATGCCCGACACTGACACTCACCCTGTAAAACAATGGAACAGTGTCAAATATAAAGGGAAGGACAAACGCTCCTGTCCTCAGAGCTTTACTCCTCTGTGGGAACTGCAGCTCCAGGAATCTGTGGACACAAGCAGAAGGCTATAATCACCAACTTCTATTTGTAATCACCTGTTTTTATTTATTTTTATCAATGCACAGGAAAAAGTAAACATATATTCTATGTACAGAAACAAAAAGAAAACAATAATTACCCCGTGGTGACCCCCCCATCCTACCCATCCACAGACCAAAACTCAGCTAGGATCTGATTGACATCCAGAGGGTAATATACATCAAACAATGACAATATGATATTTGAAGCTCAGTTTAGCACAGTAACAATTCTTCGATTTTCAGATATGGGCTTAAGACCACGGTATTTTGTAAGATTCTGGCAGTTTCACAGGTATATCACAGTAATTTCTTTTTGAATGACCTTTATGTCTTTATATAGGTTTATACTGGCTCATTCTACTGTCAGGAGTACATTGAATATAAAAACAATTTAATTCCTTCATGTGTGCAGAATGTAAACCATTTTTATTGTTATATTCTAAGAGATATTTCTCAAATGTTATTTTGCTCAGGTAAGAAACAAATAAGTTACAGCAGTTGTTTTAGCTATGCACCAGTATAAAAGAAATGCCTATCATACAGGAAATTAAAGCCAGTCTACCGGTTAACAAGGTTTTTGTCCCAGCACCAATATGTCAGCCGATAAGTCAAAAGGAATTGCAGCCCAGACATACCAAAATAGGTTAGAAACTCACATAGTTTTTCCATCAGAGAGCACTGACAAGGTTATTTTTCTACTTTAATATGTCCCACTCAGTATGTATATTGGGCCCAAAGATCGACATCAATATCTGCCTCAGAAATGCTATCGTCTGACTATAACTCGCAAGCCTCAGTACAACCTGAAGTAGACAACAGCATCAATCAATTCACATTAGTTTTATACTTTAAGTGTTTTTACTTTTAAATAAATATTGATTTAAGGACAACATTTTTCACATATGAAATCTACTAAAAGACGTTATAAATGAATGTTCAAGTGCACCGACTGAGGTCAGACTGATGCATCAGTTTACTGCAGATCAGTCAATAACACCTTCATTTAAAGTCAGTAACACACTCAAGGAATAGTTGCAGTGGATCAACATGTCTTTAAGAGTTGCTGAGCCTAAAAGAATTTCATTTGTTTGGGTTTCAGTGGAGAGTTCAAATGTCACATGGCGCCACAAATGTTGTTTCAAGAACACAAGTCTGAGGGAAACATTAAAACCTTGTATTTTCCAGGCATAAAGATGTCACCTTTATATAAATCAAATGCTGTTGCAGGGAGGTTATCTGCATTCAAGACAGAGAGTAATTGTCCTGACATCTGTTTTCAATCCTTTGAACCTGGTGGCATAAAGTTAATAAGATTGATCTTCAACTTCCTTCAGAACATTTGCTTCATTTTTTTAAACTTCTTGAGCAGAGGCAGAGGGGATGTACACAGCGGCTTCTTACCTGGAATAGCAGGACAGACTGGTACAGAACAGTGTGTTTCCAATGGCAATGGGGACAAAATGTTGATGAAGCCAGCTGTTCACCCAGCTGTCTGGTATGACATAGTATCCATAGCTTATAGCACAACCTGAACACAAACAGACATTAAAGAAATGTTAAGTGATTTTGACTGGAGAGATTAGAGATAAAATATCTTCAGGTAAAAGTGTCTGTATATATGTGAATGTATTTCTGAACATAGTATCTTATTATTATTATTATATTTTATTCATCTATTTATTTTGTACTATGAGTAGGTGTTTCAAAATCACAAACATTAAACAACGATGGTCGCTTGAGGCCTAAATCTGTTTTGCAAGACTCCTTCCAAGAAAGGGAGATCAGTTATGTCACACAAACACATTCACTGACAAAAGAAGGGTGAAGCTAGGAGGGGGAAACAGCATTATACCCGCTTGTAAATTAAAGTTTTTATGTGGGGGAATTAGCAGGAAAACACACTTAAATTACACCTGCCCATTTGACTATTTAAAGCCACAACTTGTAGATTTTTGTTCTAGAGGCAGGGAGACAATAGAAATGGTGCAGTTTGTCTTTTCTGATACAACCACTGGAGGTCACCAAAGTGGGAATATTTTTTTTTTTTCAATCATTTAACTCATTAACAAGTGTGACTGTTTTAAATTCCAAGCAAGGATCTGCCCAACTGAAAGATTTTCAGTGAACTGGAACAATCAAAAAAGTACTGTGTTGTCTCTTTCCCCAGAGAGCATCTGCTGTTCTGTGTGTTGCAACAGAACCACCCCATCAAAGCTCAGCCTCTGACTGTAAAGACTGTCCTATAGCTTTTTGTCCTACAGTGAGAAAAACCCTCCTGCAAGCGCGTATCCCTGCAATGGACTTTTGAACATTTTAAACTGGGTAAATTTTGGCACTAAGAAGCTTTGTGGCAGATTAAGGATCAGTCTGCCGGGGACCACACCATTTGTGAAGGGAACTGAAGAGGACCTCAGTTAATGTTTGTTAATGTTTGTTAATATTTGACTGCTGGTGGGATCACACACCCATAAAGACAAACACACTATGGTATATTTGAAATGCACACACAACTGTGCAACTGTAAACATATATATTGACAATACATACAGTGTGCTCACCTTAAAATACACAATTATGTGTGATTCTATAGGTTAACGGCAGACAATATTCATGTTTCTTGCATTAATGTACACGCCTGCAAATAGGCAGACAGTGACAGCAGATGCTGCAGGAAAACATTTTCAAATGACCGATCGCCCAACAAACTCTGAATTATTACAAGACAGATACGTCATTTGTTTATTCTTTGTTGCAATTCCTCTGTAAGTACTGATACACAGTGACACGGATAGATAAGCCATGAAACAAATTATTTCTCTGAAGCGAGGCAGAAGGGAGTGATATTGTTATATATGGTTTGAGATGACATGGAAATCAGGCATTCCCTGATTATGTCCACATGACAACAGGCAAATAGATTCAACAATGCTTAGACTGTTCTGCCAGGTCACCTGCCAAGTAAATAAAATGTGGAGAAAGAAATCCTTAAAGAAATGTCATGTCAGCATTCTTGGACATCTCAGAAAATCAGTAAATAGGTAGCAAAGAGAAGAATGCAGAGAAAATACAAATGATTTGCTAAATATGCTCCAAACTCCTTAAAAATAAGAAGATATTTAGAATTTAAAGTGTTTGCATTCAAAATAGTTTTTAATTCTGCTTTTCACAGATTCTTGTACTACTTACTTATTATATACGTTAAATGTTTTTCCTGTAATATTGTAAATAAAGACTGATCACTTCACCAAGTAATATGAAGCACATATTGTATCAAGTGCCTTGGTCAAGTGCAACAGTTGTTAAGAGAGCTCAAACAATGACTCATTCACCTCTTTGAATTCAAGATGTTAATGTTAATGCAGAAAACCAAAATATGTGAACCAAACCAAACCAAGCCTTTTTAGGCTGACATCTTCTGGTCGATCGGTTGGTCGAATTTGGTCGGGCAATCGCTGGTGTTACGTTCATAAGGAGAAAAGTGCTTCTTACTCTTACATTATGTTCAGGGGTCAAGTGGGACATATGCAGATCTGATGTATTTTATTTTTTGAGTGAATTGTTACAAACAACACTGTTAATGTATGATATAAATAATAATATTTAAAAATATTTTACTCAATAAATATGGTTCTGTTTTAATATTCATATAGTTTAATAGACGATTAGATAAGACAGTTACGAAGGTTTTTTTTTGGTGACAACAGCCCTACATAGTTTCTGAAGTCAGGATCGTGTCTGAAGTCTTACCCAGACTGTAGAGGCTGAGCGCTCCGTAGTCAAAGAAGTAGCAGATGTGGCGGGACTCAGGGGACATGGTGCTGAAGGTGTGCGCACAGCTGGAGGTGAAGGGGTAAATGCAGATGAGCAGCATGTACACCAGCAGGGGCCAGGTGTAGCTGTCGGTCAGGAAGTTCAGGGTGGTGCAGAGGACACAGAAGCGCCACAGGAAGTACCTGCAAATCACCATTGTCTCATTTCAGCATATTTTTAATCATCAACTCAGCTCAAACTTCTCTCTGACTTCTACTTTCCCACACATTCAGAGTTGTTGTACTTGGACTTGGCTGGCATCCTGTTTGAGTCAGGCCTATTGTATTTTTTGGGACCCTACCACAACTTCTTCCCACCTTTCTAAAAAGCTTTATAGTACGTTTTATCCACCTGTTTATTTTTTCTCCAGCACTATGAAGACTTTAAGGGATAACATTGCAGATACTAAACAAAGATCCTCATACTTCTACTGATCCTTACAAACATGTTTTTACAGCTGGAAAGTTAACATGTTCATTTTACTTCTAGTTTTAGTCTTGGTCTTGAATGTAACTAGATTTGCTCTGGTCATATCATTGTCTCCACAGCAGGGAGTGTTGATCTTGAGGTTGTTGTCTCATATTAGATGTTTTGGCAATAGTAACAGATTGCAAAAGTGCACCAAACAAAACTGACACATTAAATTAATATGTGACACGCTGTTGCACACACCATGTTGGCAGGAAGTGGGTCCAGATGTTGATTGTCTCATTGTTCATCTGGAAGCTACTGAGGACGCAGTCCAGCGCTGAGCTCCGCGGGTGTCGGTATCCAGAGATGATGCTATCCTCCCTGAACACCTAGATAAGATACAATAAGATAATAGTTTAAGATTTTTTTATAGTTTAGAGAACAAATTCTGTAGCAAAACTTTGTATTTTGTTTCTTTCTCGTCCTATCAATAATCTCCTAACCACTCAGATTTATCTTGTGACCCCCTTGGAAGGGGATTAGGATTAGCTGCTTCATTTTTGATTTCATATGTTGACAAAGTGGTGAAAACCATGGCCCAAAAAGTCTGTAGTTCTGGATCTAATTGGATGTGCTAAAAAGGAAGACGTGAGGATAAACAAAGACAACAACAATGTAAATATTTTCTCAAGCAGTAGAGATCTGATATCCACTTGCCAATTCGAAGAGGCTGTGGTAGAACATTTCAGTAACTGAAGCCTTGCAGCTTTTAAGTATCTAATAATAATAATAATATCTCTGTAAAGTAAATATCTGTGTTCCTACACTTCCACTTCGAAAAATTATCGATAGAAACTCAAATATTTAAACTCCACTAATGCACAATCAAGGTCACATATTTTTGGACTTGACACTGAAACTGTTGACTGGATATTGTGATGTAAAACCATGACAACAATGACTGCTTATCACACGAGATAAGGTCGCTACAGTGGGGTGGACGCCGGCCAACACAGATGCTTGAACTGCAGGGCTCCTACTCCTGTTGAAGGACAGTCAGCTACCAAATATCTTTCCCACTAAGGTGTGGGTGTTAAATCCCATATGGTTGTCATGCATTTGGCTTTGTTAACAGTATATAAATAATGAGAGGAAAGCCCTTGAAATGTGATGTAGAATGCAACGATTGTAGATACTTCCTGTCAAAAACATAATAATCTCTTAAAACGCTTCTATTGTTTTGTCATTACATTATCTTTAGGGCTAGTTGAGGCTAGTTTGATTGATGATATAAAACGAGGAATGAAAAAAAATGGAATATGTGTTAATGTTAACAGTAGACCCTTTATAAGTCACTCTGTCTACTGTACATGTTCAGATGTTCTAAGTTCACATCATTCTTCGTGCCTGTTCATGTCCTGATAGACAAACTTGCAAGGCTGGCATTTTATAAAAAGATCTTGTAAGGAATTCAAAAATTGTGAAACATGTATTACATAAACAATGACAGGAAATAAAAAATAACTGAAGGTTATGGGTTTTGTACTGCAGTATACAAACTGATTCAGTGCCACTGTAGACTCTATAAAAAATATTTTTATTTCAACAATGGAATGAATGACTACTGTACTTATAATGTACCTCTGCAGTTCCCCAAAGCTCTACGGAGCATATTAGCATCTTTAAGCTCATTTGCCGGTTTAAAATGCCTACTTGTTCACTCTTTACACTATCATAAACTTTGTTTCCAGGCACAGCAGGCAGCTGTTAAAGTTCTGATGAACCCACTGTACAATACCTGTCCAGCACTAAACAGTAGCAGGCAGTTCACATTTAGCAGCTAAAGAGCCGGATGGACTTGTCAGAAGTTGGTTGAGAACAAAACCGAGATAACAACTTCAAATGAATGCATAGCGTTGTTCTGTTTCTCCTTAATGCGTGTAAATAAAATGTCTGTCTAACTCTCACTGCATTCACCTGCATTGTTATGTCTTTGATTTGATTTTTTACTGAATAATTTGATTAATAGAGCTCACAGTATCACCTTGCGTGACCAAATGCCACACCAGCTTCAGCATTTCATACAATCAGTGATTGTAAAGGACCCCTCCCAAAGTGGTGACAGGTAGCTCAATTCATGAACTGAGAATCACCACAGGACATTTGGTATTTACAGCAGGATGAAACAAACTGTAAGACAGACCTACCAAGTACCATGTAGACCTTGTAGTGAAAGTCTCCCCCTTCTTCCTTACCTTGGGGACCTGGTGGATGTCAAAGAGCTGGGGAAGCTTGATGCTGAGCATGTCTGTGGGCAGTCTGATGGCACCCCTCCCTCTCTGGCAAACCTCAATGAGCCTGGCTCGTCCCCCACGACAGAGGACTAACCAGACCGGGTAGTCAAATACCGGGATCCGGACCCTTTGTCCTGGACTGTCTGGCTCCCATCGCAAGCAGCGGCCCCAGCCTTGGCTCCACCCGCCTCCGACGCCACTATTGGCCCCAATCCCCCGCCACACGGGAAACACTGCAGAGACACACAACAAACAAACACAATGAGACGCCAACAAAGCAGCAAAATCTACATTGGCTCGCCATCAAGTTCAGGATCCAATTCAAGATTCTTAAAACTTTTCAAGCTTTGCATGGTCAGGCACCTTCCTACATAATGTCACCAGCTGATCTCTCAGGTTTTCTGATCAGGGTTTGTTGGTTGTTCTCTGCTCCAGGATTCACAATAACTGCTTTTAAGGGTTCTGGCTTTTAACATTTTGAAGAATCTCCCAGTGGCAGTGGTGTAATAAGCATTGTACTTTATTTTAAGGTTTTTTACTAGTTATGAAACATTCCAAATGTAATACTGATGCCACTATATGACCTAAATAACCAAACAACCATCAGTGAAACACTGGCTTTTTCTCTATAGTTATTCTTAATGGCTGACAGGTCGGATTCAGTCACATTCCCCTAGAAATCAACGAAAACAAGGCTTCTAGGAACACTACCACTTTTGTCCACAGGGGCTGCAAGAATCAACAAAAAAATTCCTTGTTGCTGCTTTAATTAAAAGTATAAATCATGTAAAATTACATTTGTAGAAGAAAAGTACTGCATTCAAAATCCTGTAAAACTATAATACATATATATAGGCTCTATATACTCATCTATTGATAGATTGATAGAGAGAAATATTATTTACAGACAGGGCAAATGTTCTATCAGCACTAAAATGTATATGACATGTCCGCAAGTGTGACATCTTTGTTGACTGGAGCCGACACTGAGAACAATCTCCTATTGTCGCTGCACTTGAGACATACCCAGACATCCATTTGAAGAATGCCTGGCATTGTCACACTGCAGTGGCATGCGACTGAAAGCATGCATGTAATAACGACATGTTTGTGAGAGCCAATATTACACCGAACAATCCTTCTCAGTCAACAGAAGGGGCACGCGATCAGATGACTGTTTCTTACACCACCACATATTTTTTACATGTTTTAAGACAAGCTGTAACTTGACAATATCTGGCTGGCAAAATAGTAAACCGACTTTTGTCTAATTGAATAAACTGAAATGAAGTAAAATATGATTATTTTTAAAATATTTATTCATGTCTATGCAACTCCCCCATTCCATCCTTATTAAGAATTCAGTGTGAGATAAGGCTCTAGAACCTGATAGATACATCAGCATGGCCGACACTGTAGGCCTCAAAAATCCAGTAGGCTCTAATCTGCATTATGTAAATCAACATAAACCTCTGCCTTTATGCAATTAATATGCCATGACTATCAGCATTAACTGTACTGTAGGGACATTTTTGTTGCACGAACATTGACCAAGAAGAAGCCAGAGAGGTAATCACACTATTGTCCTTGCAGTGTTATTGAACTGCCTGTGTCTCATCCTAGTTTGGAACACATTTTTCTCCAGACTTGACAGATTAAAACATTTCCTGGCATCTCCCCTGTCATTACAGCTCATACCTCGAGGGGATACTTTCTAGTAGTGTGGGAGCAACAAGAGGGGAACGTCGCTCACTGCAACCCAGCTGCAGGCCCCAGTCTGTATACTGTGACAAAGTGAGCTTTGTGAAGGCTAAAGCCTTGAGAGTACAGGGGCCAAAGGACGACTGTTACACGTTGCACTGGATGGAAATGAGGCTTCTCACACTATCACGCTCACTCTCACACACAAATACACACAGTATTCTACCATGGAGAACATGCACAGATACTTTGAGCACTAACATGCATGCACACTGGTACAAATCCTGCATTCATCATGGCTGGAAAACACTGCAGAACACTACAACACACACACACACACACACACACACACACACACACACACACACACACACACACACACACACACACACACACACACACACACACACACAAGACCACAGCTTGTGTAGATGACAATAGCTACAAAAAGTCACTGGGTTCACTGCAGTGTGAAAAAAATGCTCATTTGAATTCAGATCATTAGCATCATGTTGTGCCAATGATTTGAATAGCTAATTTAAGATGGGGATGTGTTTTTTGCAAGCTGTGTGACTGATTTGAATGGCAACGTCTATGCATGTAAATGTCTATATAGATTATATTATAACTGGCTATGAGAGATGGAAGTTTGCAAATTTATGAGGCCGAACAAAGCCTTTGAGGAGCCAAACAACTGTTGTTTGTTAACGCCATAGTACATTTTGGATAGTTGACTTAATGTTAGAGGACATGAACCAGAAAACTACTCATGAGGACATGGACTCTCTTCAGCAATGACATCAGAAGACAGTCACTGTAGCTCCTAAGAATGTGATGACCCAGGAACTATGTTGCCGTTCAACAACAAGCGTAAAAATTAGGACTGCACGATATGGTAAAAAAAATAATAATTATTATTATTATTTTGACAGATATTACAGTTGTGACATGATTCATGATTAGTGGGAATAATGTTTTTTGCATCACAATTTAATTTTCACTCAAAAAACTATTAAAATCATTATGATGTGACATTTGTTGGAGTCTGTACCAAACAAACATGTTTTCTTACATCTTGAGAACAAGATTTGTAGGCCAGGGAATCTCCGCAGCACTACAGGACTTCATTATAATGCTGCTTTGTCACACATTTCACCTTCATCAAAAGATTGCAGCTTCTGCAATTTAGATATTACACTGTGTATGTATAGCACAGGAGAGGTCAGGGAGGATGAAAATGGTGTGTTCAACTTCAAACACAAGATACAAGACACAAACGGCACTTAATCAGAGTTTCCAGCTCAGGACCAGAGCCAAAACTTTAGCACAACATGCCAATCTTTCAATAAACAAGAAGAGGTTGACGCATTGATTCAAGTGCTGTTTTTTTAGGATTAACACTCTTGTCTGAAAACTTAACTCACATTAAGACTAAACTCCCCAAGATGAAAAAAACAAAACATGCAGTCTGTGAAGTAATAAAAATCATTGACTTTTCAACATCAGTTTCCAAGGATTTACAAAACCCAAGATGTTACAGTCTTAACATGAAGCATCATAGGCCAAAACAAACCTCTCCTCTTCAGCCCTTCCTTCGTTCCAAGGTCATTCTGCTAACTTGATGGAATAACTGAGTCAGTCAGCAAGCACTCTGCTCCACTTTCACAGTATAAAAACACATGGATTTGTGCTGTGCTAGACAGGACACATATTTAGGCTGCCTGAAACAGACCCATGAGATGGGTTTCAAAATTAAACGATGAAGTTTTCTCTTTGTAGAGGCTCTCTAAAACTTGGCTGGAACAAGAGGTTTTTGTGTAAGTGGTGTATTGAATCTCCCATGCATCCTCCCTCAAAAGATAACATCCACCATTAGAAGTTGACTGTGGTTTTCAGGAGATTTTGAGAAGAAAATATTTGGCTCCCCATGTCCAGCTCAGCAGAAAGTCATGAAAGAGACAGTGTCTTGTTTAAGGTAGTCTTGTTTGTAGAGATGATTGAACAACTGTGTGCTCTGGATGTTTAACGTCTTTGCGAAACACTTTATAACAACAGTCAGACCACAGTGTGTTTTCATTAAGTATGATTCCAGTTCTGTTTTGACACCAGACAGACAGTGTTGACCTTTGAAATTATTTTAACCACTATACAAGCTGTGGCTTTACCAAGCAACTTGCCAGCTTCAAAAAGAAATAAGAAACCGGAACCCGAAAGTGTCCATCATCTGAACATATTCCTCTAAACACTTTTTATTATATTACACGATAACTACGTTTCAATGCAGTAAAAGTGATTATGAAGCAGTCAGAAAGTATTGAAATAGTGACATATTTTGTTGTCGTGTTGGTCAGTTTATTGGATTTGAAGGGGATGCTAACTGCTGCCTCTCAGGTTTAATTTCGGTGTTTAAATCCACTTCAAATGAAGAGTGTAGGAAATTGTTTTTGTACATAGTCGCATGGTTTAAGGGGACATAAAGCTTTTTATACAAACTGACATAGATTTGACATAGATCATATAATCATCATAGCTAATATTTGGTTGCACTCAATGACTGTCTGATCTACAGAAAGGTGACTAGTGAGTAAAAGAGTGGCAAAACGTCACAAATATAGTTATAGCTTCCAATCCAGGGCAGGAGGGGGGTCACTGAATTGAGACCTTCTGGTCTGTTGGTCGATTGGGGGATTTTGGATCAATATTGAGGGACAGTTGAGAGAAACCGTGTGAATGTTAAGCCTCATTTAAAGCCAACAAACTAACAACAGTAGGCTGCATCCCGTTGTTCTGTGGTAGCTTTGTTGTTGTATGGAAGCCCGTTATGCTCTGCGGTCCTTGTCAGTGTGTGTGTGTTGCTGCTGTATGCAAATTTAGTAGACAGACATGCCATGGAAGTGATCTAGCTACATGTAAAAAACTGCAGTAATTCATTTGCTTGGCAATGTTGTGTAACTATGATTAGCATTCAGCACAACAAACACAAACTAGAAGACTATCAGGGATCAAACATTTTACCTTTTTTTTTTACAAGCAAAGTATTAAAGTATCGATCAATAAGCAGTATCTGTAAGAGTAGTAGTACTGTTAAAATCCCAACAACTCCCATCCCTTAAAGGGCATTTACTCGGACAGCTCGAAAACATCTGCATGCCCCTTTCACCTACCTCTGAGTCCTGTAGAAACTCTGAATATTCTCAAACAACAAACTTCCTGCCTTTTTTTTTTGTTCTTCTCTTCGTCTGAAATTCTTTCCCACTTGCTCGTGGTGCTGTCACGTGACCTTTCTCAATGGTCGTCTTTATTGGCCAGAGGTAGACAATAAGAAGACTATGCGGAGAGCATGTCGCCCGCACAGATGGACACACGCGCCCTGTACTGCATGTACAACAGCCTTGGCTCATACTGCAGCTCATGCTTCAGAGCAGGAGTTCTCAAACTTGTCCATGCCGAGGCCTTCGAAACAGCATTAGCTTATGGCCGTGGCCCACATTTTGCAAGAGGCCTTTAAAAACCCAACTGACAATACTACGGCAAATAAAAACTATTTCAATATATTTATTGGCAAATGAGACATCAAAATGTTAGCAAATGTTATATACACATAACAATAATAATTCACTTTTATTTTTTTTGTATTTTCTCTCATCTTACCTCCAATTTCCTGAGGTCCCCCTGGCGGCCCTCAAGGGGACGCGGGCCCCACTTTGAAAAACACTGCTATAGAGCATTCCACTGTCCTGCTGAAACACGTTGGGCCCAGGAGCTGACAGCTCCAAAAAAACACTCACTGGTGGTTAATGCACCATTTCTTCGATGGAAAATATTCTATTCTGTACTTATACGATTACGTTTTTGTGAATTTGAGCATAACTTTGTGGTAATAATGATACAGACAGTTTTATTTGGGATTCACTACAGTATTTTACAGACTACAGAACATACACAACGTTCCACATCCACCTGTTTGCCTTTCACATAGGTGAAGAGAGGATTAGGAGCAAGTTCAGTCAAGAGAGACAGTTTTTCAAGTTAGGAAAGCAAAAGTAAAAGTAAGTGCACACTATGTCTCACTGAACCGCATTGCAGTTTGGTTCGCTGAGGATATTGGCCTATTACAGACATATCAGTATCAGCATATGTTATCCAATATGTACCAAAAAAAAAAGATTAAAAAAATGTTGATAATTGATTGTTTTTAACACACAAAAAACTCCAAACTCTGGTTGCAGCTTGACAAATGTATTTTGGCAGCAATTCATGATTCATTTTATCAAATAATGTGACAGTTATTTTCTCAATTATTGAATTAAATCCAGAACATTTTTAACTTAGTTTACTCTCATAAGGACAATAAATTAATTTTCTGTCAGTCAACTAATAATTTGAGCTCCACAGTCTATATCAACAGAAACTGAAGATCTTTAGGTATTTGAAGAGGTCATTTTGACATTTTATAGACTAAATAATGAATCACTCACAGGAAAATAATCCTTGCATCAGACTACTCCCCTCTGACCTGAAGTGTTTGAGGTTACTTACATACGTTAGACATTGTCATGAGACATGCTTTACAACTTCCCTCTTTTTGCTTCAAGTCTGAAGTCATGCTGGAATGTTTTTAAAAAAGGTGTTCCTCCATGGCCCCTTCCTGGTAAGTGTCTACATTTCACATTAAAAGAATTGCTCAAGGTTGCGTAACACCACTCCCATGTGTTCTTACAGATCACGATGGATGACTGCAGGCACAAAGAGGCAACTCCCCCCTGCAAGATCAACAGTTAATTTCTATAATAGTCTGAACTTCCTATTGTATTATTCAACCAAGTAACCCTCATCTAAAACCTGGAGCCATGTCTCCATACTGACAGTCAGCATGTTCCTTTGGCTTGCACGTGACTGTTGGCACTCTTTGACATATTAAGGAAACACAGTGCCAAACAGAAACCAGTTCCAACTTATTACTAATCGAGGATGAGGTGATACAGTTAAGCATGTGACAAATGACTCAACTGGCAGGAGGGTGTTGTGTTGTGGAGATTCATCGACAAACCCCTCCCCCCCATTGCATTCCTCTACTCTACTACAGTACCAACACCTTACTATAAACACAGTTGATCCATGTTCATACACAAGAATGTCCTGCTTTCCTTCTCTCCCACAGTAAACGCAATACTAAACTTTTTATCAGCTTCAGCGAAAGAAAATAACAAAATTCAAGAGGGTTTGGCTTCAAATTGAGATAGGATTGCAACTATAGATTATTTTAATTATCAAACCATCAATCTGCATATTATTTTCTTAATTAAACTGCAATAAAATGTCAGAAAATATGGGGGAAAAAAGCCAATCCTAGTCCAAGGTGACTCTTCAAATGTCTTATTTTGACTGGCCAACTATATCAAAAACTCAAAGATGTTCACAATTCAAATTTATTATTAATTATATAAAATGATTAATAGTTGCTTCATTTCTTCTTAGTCAATCGACTAATCCACTGATCGACTAGTTGTGGCAGCTGTAAAAAGGTAGCTTTTTTGGGGGGTTCTTTTACATATTTTTTCGTGACAAATACATAAAAATGTATCAGACCAAAAAGAAAAACACACTATGCGAGCTGTAGAAGAAGATTACAAGTCCATGTGGCGACTGCTTACAATATGGAAACATCCAAAACATCTCCAAGTTGGAGGAGAAAAAAACAGCTCAACCCTGCAAGTGTTATTTTGCCTGGACACATCTCCAGAGCAACCACCGAGGAAAACACGCCAGTCACATGCATCTAATTCTCAGAACGACTCGGTTCGTCTCAAACCTTCAGCCCCATGTGTTGTTCCATTATTTCCTCTCCATTTTCCCCTTCACTCAATAAACACGACGTCCCAGGAATTCCTTCAACACTAGCTTTAAAAAAACAAGTTTACAGATGCATTGGCAGCTCAAGAGAGTGAAGAGACAAACAGAGTCAAAAGCAGCAAAGCATCATGTTGGCTCCTGCTGTATCTGTCACACAACTACCTTTAATTTATCGACTTACCGCGACCCTCGGGCATGCGGAGGTTAAAGGGAACCTCCCGTCTGTCTCCGTTACAAAAAAAAAAAAAAAAAAACGCTACAAGCTACTTGTGTGACAGCCTGGCCTCGGTTTCTTTCTTTCTCGTGTCTCTGTTAAAAGTGTGTGGAGTCTACGACGTGCCCCTGTTTTCCCTTGTCCACCGCGCGAGCCAGTAAGAAGCGCTGCTCGGTGCTCACGTGGATCACTGGCGCAACAACAACACGAGCCATGTGTGTGTCCAACAGCAGCGCGCGCAGGGTTACTGGCGCTGACACGCAAAGATGCTGTTCCTGGAAACATGTGACAACGTTAATGGGACGAAAGAGAGCCAGATTGAAGCTTTCAAACTATTTCTTTTTGGTTTTATATAGCCTACAAAAAGCTCCTTCATAATAATTCCATTGAACAAGACTCCTTTTCTATCAATTACTACACTGACGACCCCTGACTAAGTGACATGTTTTGGATATTTCATATTATACTCAAAACTGTACATTCAACCCAAATAATGAACTCAGTAACTGCAGGGAGTTTGTGAGAGCGACTTGGATGACTTTTGAGCAGATTATTTCCTGTAATAATTTTTAACAAGCATACAAACTTAATAGTTTTTGGGGTTTTTTTTCTGGTGCTTGGTCATTGTTCCATTTGACAATTAACATTTACTTTTCTTCACAGAAGTGAGCCAAATGATGAAATAGAGGCCTACTGTGTATATTTATTAGTATATGTTAAAGTAAAGGCCTTGCGACCCCCTGACTCCCAGGTTGGGAACCACTGTTTTAAGGTATGTTATTGATGCTCTTACCTGCCTTCGTTTATTAATGGCCTTGTTGTAAGCCACCTATGCTGGCTTGTTTTTTGCCATGTTAGCAAGGCTGCTGGAAGTCAGAGTCTATTTAAGTCATACTAAATGCTGTGACGAATTACTACTATATGCATTCAAAACTTTACTTGAGTAAAAGAACAACATTTGTTTGCACTGAAATATATGCTTGAAGTGTCAAAAGTAAAATAAGTCATCATGCAGAATGGCTCTTCAGAATATTATATATGACTGGATTATAATTATTGATAAATTATATTTGTATCATTGTGGGGCTCATTTGAACTAATGTACATACTGCCTGGTACTTTACAGTGTAATAATACATCAAAATGTATTTTTGGATTATATTTTGTATTCATAATCGGAATCTGCAAAGTAATTAGTAACTAAATCTTTAAGTATAGTAAGTATAAAGTAGCATAACCTGGAAATACTCAAGTGAAGCACTAGTATTTTAAAATTGCACAAAAGTACAGTCTTTAAGTAAACTTTTTGCCCACCACCAATGGTCTTCATGGATCATTACACTAAGGAATTTCTCTTACAATAAAGCACAATAACATTTTTTATAGTAAAACAAATGTCAAAAAGTCAGATTTTAGTCACTCAAATTTAGGCCCAATATGTAGTTGTGTTGTTGTGTTTTGGTTTTATGGGGCAGAACTGTTTTATAGATTGCCATGAAGTGTAATGTAATGTTATGGTCCCATTACTTTTCTTTTATTGCACTAAGCACAGATTGCAGCTGAGGCTGATGGAAATATTAGTTCTGTGGGAGTAGTTATAAAACCAAATATTGTGGAAATGATATTGTTAAAAGGGAAATTGTGAACTGATGAAGACGCTATAGAAAATGCAAGACTTTTACCAAAGTCATAAGGCTTTAACCTCTGGGAACCATGAATGTCTGTGGAAAGTTTCAAGTAGTGGACTGACTGAAAGAATGACATTGCTATCCCTAGAGCCACTACGTTGTTATAGCTAAAAACAATACTCACATAATGACTCATGACATCAATGAAGTCACTCACCCACAACTAAATACAGGATGTTACTCAACATCACACAGCATAACTTGGAGCCTCCTCAATGACTAAATGTCCTCAAGGTTACAGGAACACCAGTTGCCTTTGACTTACTTTTACTACATCACATGTCTTCGATGAATGAGAGGCTCCATGTGGGGATACTCCTCCGTCCAAATTCTGACCAGGGAGGACATCCTGGTTTTTTTCTGCACAGGATAAACATCCAGTTTGTGTCAACAAAGCTTTCTATCCCATCATATTTCTGCAAAGGTCTTTTTTGTCTTGCTTGAGTTAATCCACACCCAAAGCAGTGTGACGTTAAACACAAAAGTTATTTCAGTTCCACACATTCAACACAAGCCCTGAAAACAAGACAAACTTTTCAAACTCTGTGCTTGTTCAGCGACCCCCCCCCCCCTTAAATTCATAAATGACCAGAATTTGCTTGCTTGGTCATCATTAGCTATAAATATTAAATTGCAAGATCAAAACTGGACTTATTACGGCAGAGGCGAGTGCTATACCCTTCAGTTATGCAGATATTGGCTGTGAGTTAATGTTCTTGGCAAAATAAGTCATTGATTTTGAGTGTCACGTTCCCCCAAAAAAAGCAAATGAAAACACTGCATCAAACTGTGTCAAAAAATGTATGTTTCCCAAACAAACAAACAAACAACCCTTATAACGTCCAGATTATGTCCATATGCATATCATATTACTCTGAATTCTTAAAATAACAGGCTGTATCCAATTAAAATGAAGCCTCCCAATGGGACTGGTGCTGCCTGCTTGACGTCAACAAATAAAAACTACTCTCCTGTTCACAGCTTATGAAATTTTCAGCTGTTGTACTATAATTAAGAAACAATGTCATATTTCACACATCTTGGCGTGGCCCTGTTGGTGTTCTGATTACCAAGTTATAGTGATTACTTTAGAGCCAGAAAGAGTCTTTGCTTAAAGTTATCTGTGTGTCTAACTGTGCATGTTCTTCCTCTCTCCTTGAAATATTCATGGTTTACTTCTTGTTGTTCTGAGATCTAGATGCAAGATCAAACTCTAGATCAAGATTTAGATGCAATCATTTCAGAGAATTTGCTTTCACAGCCTTTGGAATAACTTGTCTGAGGAGATCAGGGGAGCTTATTTTTAATCAGTTCTAGTAACCTAATTTTTAAAGTTGATTTTAGCTTACTTAGTTTTATTTGATTGTCTTTCATTGTAAGGGGCTTTGTAACTGTTTTGTAAAGTGCGAGACAAATTAAGCTAATACTAATAGTAATAATATATAATATCAATAATATCACTTATCAAGATCAGCAATCAGTGGTGGAAAAGGTTATCAAGAAGATACTTCACTCAAATAAATGTCCCACTTTTACACAAGTAAAAAGCATTAAAGACTTTACTTAAGTAAAAGTAAAGAATTATCTGCAATAGCCTACACATTATGCAGATCAAAGTAATGTAACTTGATTACTTTCTGTTGCTTTTGGATGACATCAACACCAAATAAAAGCCTATGCAAATCAAGACAAGAGAAAAGAAATATCAATAAGATGTAACCTTGGAAAAGAACATGGGGAAACAAAAATGTTCAGCATCTAAAATGTGTCCTCTGTTAAGTGTATTTATTTAAGTCTGTAGACCATTTAATGGATAAATTAGTTTTTTTCCCACTAAAAGCCATGATAATGAATTGGAAAGTGTCAGATTAGCTATGGTTTCAATCAAGACCAGAGTGGTGTTCTGACAGTGCTGTAATGTGTACACACTGCGCATGTGCAAGGTATTGTATGGTACTTTATTTTCCTACTAATGCCAGTTTTTACTAAATGTAACTGTAACTTGATTGGGTTTTTTTGGGGGGCAGCTGATTACGTTACCTTTGTGTATACTGATCGCGTAATTCCGTAATCGGTTACCCAAGCCTGCAAATAAGGTGTACTGAAGTTGTTTGATACTTTGCACGAGTGGCAATCATACATGTAAAATACAAAAGAGGGGAGTAGAGGGAAAAAAGAGCGTGAAAAAGAAAAAAGAAAATATATCCCAAATAAGAATATAGTATTAGTATTACTATTACGCACGCAGGGATGGGCATGCGTAAA